ATTGAAATTAACACAACTACTCCGACGCTGCCGCTGGAAGTAATTTTCCAACCCATGTCATACTTCAAATTCCAGATACTTGCCTCGATGAGTCACGGCTTCGACGAAGCCCTCAAGCAACAAGGTGGTGGTGCAGGAGCGGAACTTGATGAGGTCAAACGAATGCTTACTGAGACTAATCCGTGGTTCCTGGGTTTGACTGGACTGGTTAGCATATTGCACGTTGTGTAAGTGCATCGTAGCGATTATCGTATACGTTACTAATCCTGTGGCGTATGAAGATTTGAGATGCTTGCCTTCAAATCAGATGTTTCGCACTGGCGCCAGCGGAAGGAGTTGGTGGGTGTCTCTGTCAGGTGAGATATTACGTGGTACAGGTGTCGTTGGCTGTCATAATGACTCCTCATTTTTCTTCAACAGAACGGTATGTTCCCTTTTCTGGAGACGCCCCAGTCTCAAATTGATCGGCATATTGGATCGCTTTTTAGATAATAACGAACGTGTTTGTCCAGACCGTGGTGCTTTTATACCTCATTGACAACAATGAAAACACGAGCTGGATGATCCTTATGGGGTCTGGGATGGGTGTCGTTATCGAGGCCTGGAAGGTGCATGAGGAACATTGCCGCAAAATTGAGTGGGGCTGATTCTATTCGCAGATCACCAAGGCTGTGGATATCAGCATTATCACTGCTCCGTCTGGCTCTCAACTGCCCTATATGATTAGCATCAAAGGTACAGTTTCTTGCACGTGGTTTCGTTAGCTAAAATATGGCCCATCAGATAAGCATGTCCTCAGTGACGATGAGAAGAAAACACAAGAGTGAGTCAATGCAGTCGCTACTGATCCAGGATGATGAATATTGACATAAGGATTTGATCAGATATGACAAGCTTGCATTCCGCATTGTGTCATACTTTACTATTCCATTACTCGCCGCTTATACGATCTATTCATTGATTTATGAGACCCATAAAGGATGGTACAGCTTTGTGATCTCAACGCTGACTTCTTTTGTGTATATGTTTGGCTTTGTAAGTCCACATTGCATGCTGCTATTCGGCTACTTCCTGACACCGATTTGAACTATGACAGGCACAATTGATACCTCAACTCATTATCAATTATAAACTCAAGGTTTGTCACTTGCCCATACGGGGTGTACATCCTGTTCAGACTTGCTGTATTTTTTCAGAGCGTGGCGCATATGCCCATGAAGGCAATGATATATAAATCGTTGTCGACAGTTGTCGACGACCTTTTTGCGTAAGAATTTACGATAAACCAGTGCATGATTCCAGGCTCACAAGACCTTTCGCGGGAATCCAGGTTCTGCATCAAGATGCCGATGCTGCACCGGCTGGCGTGCTTCCGGGATGATGTCGTGTTTTTAATTTTCCTGTATCAGGTGAGTTGATGAGCTATTTCTCCATACGTTAGTCTAGACTCAAGCCTCGTGCTTGCTCAGCGCTGGATCTACCGTATCGATCCTAAACGAGTGAACGAGTATGGTCAGGTGATGGCGGAGGATGTCATTAAAGCTGATGACAGTGGTGAGACAAAGAAGGAAAAGTAGACTTCCAAGGACGCCCGGTCAACACAGCGTCTTGGAATGCCTTGTCTAATATTTTTGTTCTTCTGCGTGTTAACTCCTGTGGGACCCGCGTAAATGCGATTGACTCACTCTAGTGTTTTGACGTTGCTTGCTAGATCAGGTGGAATGTATTATCTAGAGTAGTTGAATACTGTGATCAGGAGTAATATCCCAATTGTTCTGATGCATCATGCTCCTTTGTTTTCGCCGTCGTTGGAACATTTTTGACTTTTGCGGCTATATTGGATAAAATTAGGCAGAAACACGCGAAGTTTACCGCACTCATCGGACCGTGGAAAAACGTTCTTGATTGGGATGAATATGACACTGGAATCTGGATTCATATCCGCATCTCTGACTCCCCCGTCAACACTAGTGTTGTAATCTCCTTGTCTTTCATCTTGCTAGGTCACCGTCAACTATGGCGAATGTCCGCCAGGATGATACAACCAGGGCTTGTAAATGTCTCAATATTCGAATAGAATCTAGGCAACCGCCACCACAGAGCACGCCTCCAGATTTTCTCAAGGACAGTGTAACAGATTCAGTCTATACACTGATGTATGTTGCTCAGGACGGTCTCAGTGTTGTCAGTCGCATCCTTCATCTGCTACAATTTTTTTCGCCGTGAATTCTGATTTATATCATAGGCTCATCCTCAATTGACAATGAGAACACGCAAAATGGGTCCCTCTCTGGCCGATACAAATCGATGCATCCGGTATACGACATTGACTTGTTTATTGTGTCAGACTCTCGCATATCGTGTACAACAGTTGGTCCCACTGGATGTAGAGGGTCAAGAGGGACCGTTGCTTCCGACTTATGATTGGGTTGAGCAGGACATACTGATGAGCAGTTGCGGCTGGATTGAGGTACACGCCGAGTGCCTGGTGAGTCACTTTCCTCCGGTTGCTAGTGATGAAGCTAGGTCTCTAGCACAATTCCCTCAATCCTTTGTACAATTTCCGGGGATATGTCATGACGTCTATGACGTGATGTCATCCATTATTGCATGCAGGGTTTACTGACAGGATACTTTCTTTAGGATTCAGATGCCGTCCTCAGGCTCTGGTCGTCAACGACATATTCCCCAATTTTCAATGTTGCTGTGCCGCCAAGTACCTCCAAGCCGTCTACGCAACCCTCTGACATCGCCTCCACTGACGTGTCGCGCTCCCGAGTACTCTCTGAGCCTATATTGTCAAACTTACGTCCCTTGTTTCCACCCGCGCCCTTTGTACCTTCACATCCCGTTTTCGTTCACCTATCGTCCATAGCCACATCTAAGTCACAGGGTCTAAGATCGTCCGCTGAGGAGCAGTTCGCCGCTCTTATACGGGATAAAGTCGCTGAAATTGAGAAGGCCGAGGAAGATTTGAAAAGAGCTGTGGAGAGCCTGTGGAAAAGATTTCTGGAGAGCTTAGGTCAGACGGAGAAGGATTGGGGCGCTTCCGATGTTGCTAAGCGGAGGGACCCTTCAAGAAAGCCCAATACCAACCATGCAGGGGGGCCGGCCGTTGGTTCACCGGTGGTTACCGTACGGGACTTCGTGCCTGTTGTTAGCCCCGGAAGAATGGTTTCCCCTGCGCCGCGATCGGTTCCAAGAGTATCTTCGCTCTCTGCTTCGCTTGCAACTTCGGCATTTCACCATCCTCGTGCCCTTCGGGAAGGAAATACACATTCTGGACAGGCAAGCGATATTCCACGTTCGCCACCGCCTTATTCATCCCACCCGTCATCTATCGGATCAGCTGACAGTCGGTCACTGTCGTCCACTACTTCATCTAGAGAACTACTACCACTGATGACGGGCGAAAGTCTCATTCAGCCGTTTAAACGAAGCATGGACGAGGCTCGGGACACGGCTGCGAGCTTCCGATATTTTATCGATATGGAAGCTGAGATGGAAATTATGCGCGGACGTCAGAGACTCCCAGCAACCGGGACGACCGCTACAGAGACGTGGAAGGCGACCGAAGGTGTGCAACCGAGTAATGCTTCCACTTCTGCCAGCGCACCCGGTGACGAAGAGAATAAGCTGAAGGGAGCGAAAGAGGACCGATTGCAGAAGCCAGATCACGGCAGGAATGGCAATGAGTCGAGGGGGAAGCGCAAGGTAACATTTGACATTAAACCAGACACGCTGATAGCCGACGGGCCGAATCCGGAGAAAAATGGAAGCAGTGAAGGACGTGATGGTACCCAACTATGACGATTTTTACGCGATTTTCTGACGATGGTTTTATTTCAGACATGATATTTGATTTGGATGGTGAAAGCAGCGATCGGGATTCGTCAGACGCAGCTCCTGTCCTTCCATTCAAAGAGGTCCCATACATTCCCCGACGTCGTACACGCGTCCGCAACAGCACAAATCATGTTGGGCTACCAACATCTCTTTCATCATTGAGGCCGACCTCTTTGCCCGCCTATGCTTCTCTTCGAGCCCAGATAACTAAACAGAACTGGACATCTAGAACACAAGCCCCAACTTCTGAGCAGATGCCCACTGAATCTATCCGACACAGCATTGAAGCTGAGGCTCCTGATCCCCAGGAACAGGAAATTTTAAAGTTAGTTGCCGCTGATACCCCGAGTCACAGAGGTGCTTGGAAGCCCAATAGCAGAGCGTGGCAGTTGTTTGTCAGTAGACGAGGTGGGAAGAACGGCTCAGCTGGAGCGTTTATACCAGAGGAGGCTGAAGTGGGCGTTACTGTTAGTGACACCGATGACAGTGACGATATAACTTCGGGTCAGTTTTTTTTTCCATTTAATGAAGTCGCCGTGCTGAAGACTTATTTAGGTACACTTTATCATCCTCCAGGAATCCCGGGGTCATTACCCATTAGTATTGGGCCGTTGTCACGCAAACGAGAACCTCTATCATTGGCGTCATATCAGCCAAAGACATCCCTTCCTGACCGTGCTAGTGCGATGGTGCCTCCTTTGCCAAATATGGTTTGTAGGCATTCTACTTCTGCTTTGCGCAAAGCTTCGTATGCCGCTCGTGATCGTGACCGTTGCATGGACCCCGGGACCCTGGATTTCATCTCGCAAGATGATGAGGGTGACGAGGATAATGAGAGTGATGACGAACCTTCTCAAATGGACCTTCCTGATGAATCACGGGGGAGACAACGAGCATTAAAGATACTTGAAGCGCGAAGTAAAGTTCCAGCGGCTGGGATGTGGAGAAGCCTGGCATAGGATGCGCTTCAAGTTGATGATCTACTTTATTTTTTCAATAATAACTGTGCCCCATCTACTTTGCACCTTGATAGCCTACTTGTACCTATACTATTTGTTGTACATGGTACGGAAGTTCTGGCTTGCATTGCAATCCCATCATGGTCTCCCTTTCCTGCGATCGCGGAAGGCATTATGTAAGTTTTGATATCTGTGGCGTCGATCGCGGAGCCCCAATGAGGTACGTTTGCGTATGTAGTCAAGACATAATATGGCCCTGCATACCGTCATCTCGTTCCTGCAGATCTTGTTAGACGCTTCGCTTGGAGACCATGATGTCGTTTATAGAAAGCGAGTTATCGAGCACATGGACGAGCTCCACCATTGCACAAGGCCGGAAATCTCCGAATGCCTGCAGGCTGCTTTGTGGCTGTGTGATAAGATCCCGTGAGTCACGCTGCCACGCTCGATCCTTAAACATTCATGAGCGCGATCAGAGTCGGCGTTATCACAGGTCAGGGTGCTGTCAACTTCATGTCCCCGAGGGTAAAACTAAGCCAAAAACTCCGTCAGTCAGCGATACAGCGTCGGTGGACGCAGCTGCAGACAAATCTGGTCCAACCATCCAGGAGATCGTTCGCCAACGGGGGCATGGTTGCGTACGCTCGACCATTCTTCCAGATGATGAACGACAAATAAGGGAGACAGTCAAAAACTGGTGCTATGATGTCGAAAATACTGTTGACTGGATCATCTCCACTGGGGGAACGGGATTCGGCGTGCGCGATCGGACACCCGAAGTAGAGTAGATCCCATTCATGCTGCTGGCGTAGGTACTAACTTCCTCCTTTTTAGGCGATTGCCCCTTTATTGGAGCGCGAAGCAGCTGGAATCGTTCATCTACTGCTAGCCGAGTCGTTAAAGCGCACTCCGCTGGCAGCACTATCTCGACCTGTCGCAGGTACAGTGGGAAATACTCTTGTCGTCACACTGCCAGGCAGTGTGAAGGCAGTCAAAGAAAATCTGGAGGCTCTTTTTGCAAATGGCTTCATTGAACATGCCATCGATCTCATCAGAGGGGGAACTGGCAAGCAGGTGCATGCTGCTATGGGCTCGGGACACGGCGGAGTTCCGCATCACCACCACCACCACCACCATCATGATCACCACGTGCCCCAGCCTCGGGCAATTTTATCTCATGATCCTTCTTTACCTGGTATGTCTCCATCCAATACTTGGTCCGCATCAAAGCATAGCATTATGCGATTATCAACAGTTTATGCTCGTCATCGCGTTTCACCATATCCGCAAATATCCCTCGAGGACGCTTTGAATATAATCGTGAATGAAATACAACCACTGGGCGTGGTATCTCTTCCTGTCAGTGAAAGCTGGGACATATCGAGTACGTGCTGAGTATCAACAGGTGACACCTGCACTGGCTGGTAACATTCTCGGCGAAGATGTCCATGCACCGCAAAATGTTCCTTCATCCAAGACCACCAGCGTAGATGGTTATGCGCTTCGCTGTTAGTCTTCGTATCTGTCACATATGACGGGCTATGCTGATGTAGCCGTTAGCGTCTGACCCTCCTGGAACGTACAAAGTTTTGACTTCTAGAACTCACACACTGGCCGATGTTCTTCCTGAGGGATGGATTTTTCGAATCAACACGGGAGGGCCCCTCCCAGCAGGAACTGATACAGTGATCATGGTTGAAGACACTGAGCTACTATCCACCGCCAAGGACGCTGATGGACAGGATGCAGAAGAAAAAGAGGTGAAAACACTCGTACAGGTCCCGCCAGGCGACAATATCCGAGAACCGGGCTCTGATGTGCACAAGGGCGACCTTGTGCTTCAGAGAGGCGAGGTCTTAACAAGTCTCGGAGGCGAAGTTGGGACCCTAACGTTTGTCGGGCGAAAAGAGGTATGTCGACAAATAGGCATGTGTCAGTGCAGAGATGAACTGGTGTCAGGTCAAAGTGCATCGCAAGCCTGTCGTCGCTATTCTGAGTACGGGAAACGAGCTTCTAGACCTCCAATCTCCTAACCCACTTCCCTCTGATGGTTGGGGAGGCATTTGGGATACAAACCGACCATCGCTACAGGCAGCCCTCGAAGGAATGGGATATAATGTTGTTGACCTTGGAATTGTTGCCGACGAGTAAGAGGCTTTATTTCTTCAACACTCATCGTCTGATTCGGCTCTAGTATCGATGCACATGTGAAGGCAATAAAACAAGGTCTCGAAAGTGCCGACCTTTTGCTTACGACAGGCGGGACATCCATGGGAGCAAGCGACCTTCTCAAGCCTGTGATCGAACGTCAGTTCGGGGGTACGGTCCATTTTGGACGGGTGTCAATGAAACCCGGCAAGCCAACTACGTTTGCGAGTATCCCGACTGCGGGAGGAGAACACAAGAGAAAATTCATGTTTGCTCTCCCGGGTAACCCTGCCTCTGCCCTGGTTACATTCTATGTCTTTGTCATACCAGCGTTGCGGAAGCTTGGCGGTTGGCCTGGTGAAAGATGCCACCTACCACGTGTACGTGTGAAGGTAGGTATAATTCATGTCTTCGGGAATGTTCTTTCTTGACAGCGATACGGTAGCTGAGTGATGCCATGCGACTGGACTCTCGTGTTGAATTCCATCGTGTGATCGTGAAAGCCGAGGAGGAAGGTCTACGAGCAACGAGCACAGGTGGCCAAAGATCGAGTCGAGTTGCAAGCCTGAGCGGAGCAAATGGCCTTGTGCGACTACCAACCAAAAGGGAGGGTGGGCCAGATAGATTGGAAGCTGGGAGTTATGCAGATGCTGTCATTATCGGAGAGTTGTACATGTCAGATCCTACATCATAAACATAGCCACGACTCACTAGTAACGTTCATAGTAATGAAATCAGGCTCAAGTCCTGTAGGAATTTGTGTTGCTACATTACTGCAGCCCGTGGCTTAAGGGGGGCAATAGCGTCATTTGGCGCACCTACCGCATCGGCAACACCGCGATACATATCGCTAGCAGATATACACCGCTTTCTCGCTGGAAACGTCAACAGCTTCGACAATGGTCAACGCAGCTTTCTAGCTGCGCCAAATCAAATTTAGTGAGTAACGGGGCGTGACATCACATCCCAACTCCCGACGCTCTCATTCCGGGGAGCGTTGTTGTTGCCCAGTGCCATGCGGCAGTCAAGCACAGCTACACATCTCTCGCTCAGGCTTGGCTAACCTTGATGGAGGAGAACAACCTTATGTCCCTGGGCTTCCATGCAATCACGAAACGATTTGATGTCGATACTCATAGCCACAATTCCACATCGACCATTGACCTTCAAAAATTGGAGTTGTAGCTCATCCCAAGCACCACACCCCGACGACAGTCTGAAGACCATGAAAGCGTCATAGACTTAATCGCAGTTTTCTCCGACAGACGCCATATGATCACCGGCTCGTTAGACAACACGTTTCGCGTGTTGGACCTGAAGACAGGTGTTGTGTTGAAGAAAATGATAGGGCATTGCGGCGGGGTGTCGGGATTGGAAGTGTCGGAGGTACTTTTACGGTCATTTCTCTCCTCTTCGTCTTCTCAGTTAGCATCTTTTTGATGTCAAGGCTCAAGTCTTTGATTAAAAAGTATGTGCACTGTCCAAACTCTTGACTGTTATGCCGCAAATCGAGCATGCATGTCACCCCGCAGACGATTGTTCGAAATACATGCATCGCGGGGAACCTGTTTGCTGCCGAAGAGCTATTCACATAACTTGAAGAGATCTCCTGCAAACAGCTATGCATCGTGTCCCAACCGCTCACTCGTTTATGGCATGCAAATATCATTGGGACTGCACGCTTCAGGACGCAATCAAGATGAGATATATTGACTGACCCAACATGAGTTCTTTATGACTCTAACTGTCATCGTCATATAGTCCATCAGCATTGAGCCCTCACTGGCACGCTATATCTCTAGGGACATCGCCCTCGGTGGAAAGGAGCTAGTGACCTCACGTTCACGTTGAGTTCGCTCGGTATCGTAAAATTGCGGGCGTTCCGTGAAATTACTCGCGATGCAGGGTTCGCCGGGCGTAGAGCGATACATGCTACATCGACTTAAGCAACCACAAAACTCTATACCCTGCTTGGCAACATAGGAGCTTCTCGTTTCGCGCACTGCAGTCTTATTTGCTTTGCATGGTGTTCCGTATCACAGAGGTCAGGCGGAGGCACGATCTCACTATCAAACATGCGACTATGGAGCCAAGGCAGACGGGATTCATGGCCTGCTGATCACGACGGGAGAGAGGCTTATTTAATTCACTCCGGTACGGCCTGGTCGCCAGACAGTCTTGCCTGTCCGTGCCTGGAATCGGTATCTCCTTAAGCCCATTCCTTTGGAGATGATACACTAAGCGAGGATGAATATTGGTCCGCGCCTGGATCTATTCGACAGGTCACCCGGTAGTTCTGATGGAGGACATTCAGAATTAATCTCACGGGCTTTGCGATTGGTTGCTTGCCTCGGACAACCTTCAGCGCAGCATTTTTGGCGGAGAATACAAAAGGATTGCTTCGGGTCACAATACTATTGCAGAGATCAAAGACATAGCCTCTGTCGACGACATGATGGACGTCAGGTTCCTAGGAATATTATATTCTTTGAAGACCAGATATCACTGAGCAGTTGATGTTTGTTTCTGTGACGACAACACTTGCACATGGTATTAGCACGGATTCTACTTCATATCCGTCTGCGCAGGATCAACTATACACCACCTTTGCAGACCTTGGTGTTGTCGAATTGCATTGTTGTCGACAACAAGAGATGAAAAACAATGTAGTTTAAACTATATATTCCTTTTCAATGTTACGTTTTATCTATATAGTCATCATAATGCCGTTGTTTTGAATACAACAATAAAATACAATGGATCTCAAGAAGATCGGTGCGAGTCTAGTTTATGTTACAAAATGACATGCCAACAGCTAGCAAACTCTACTAGTACGTCTGGACAGTTTTGCTACGACCTACAACCGACGTACGACGTTGCGCTGCAACGTAATGCTGACGCTTTTCCAAATCTGAAGAAAACATGAGAATGTACGAGGGCAAAAAGCGGTGAACAAACATACCATGAGCCCACATAGCAGCTCCAATACGATTTGATACTGTGAAAACAAGACCGACGATTGGTAGACCCTCGAGTAGCGCCGCGACGAAACCGAACGCTGAACGTGATGTGAGTAAACACGCGAATCATGAGACGTCGTGCATACTTCGGTAGTCCCATTTACGTTCCTCAATAAATACAGCTTCTTGATGGGCTGTCATCTTCTTTGTGGCGAAATACTTGCCACAGTAGTCAGTATTGACGAGGAGAAGATAAGAATGAGGGCTTACTGGCTTGTGCAAGTCCTGAGCGGTGCTCAAGCCTTTGAAAGCCGCAGTGATGAATGTGCCGACAAAGGGATACAGTGAAAGCGGAAGTAAGATGACTAGAGATGTAATGCCTCAGGGAATAGCTCTGTGAATACCATAGAACACATGGCCACCTTTCTGTATGAGCATCCTCCAAAACCATATCTTGAATATCTTGTCCAGACGACCCCAGCGTTCATTGACAACGGGTGGGAAATCCCATTCTTCAACATATGGCTGCCAGAAATCGGGCCCTTTGCCGCGCGAGGCTACCGTTTGATCCCAGACACGTCGGCGGACAACGCGAATATTGCGAGCGACAAAAAAGCTGATGATGCCGGTAGCTTGCGATCCTACCAAGAGTATCGCGACGTCTGGTAGGATAAGTACATGATCAGTGTCAAAACATGATAACCGGATGAGCAGGTGCACATGTGGATATGTTGAAGGGCAACTTGAACCCTAGAAACGTCTCGTGAGATAGTTCGCCTGCGGTTTCTTCGAATCGTGTTATGTAGCGCATGGAGAAGATGGAGGAAGGGTTTGTGATGGCTGCTTTAATGATGCGGCGTTGAATGCTGTATGATGCGCAAATCTGGCCGGAAGCTGTTGAGCGCTGAGCATGTGTGCGCAGGGTAAATTTCGACTCACCCAGGCAAAACCACATATCAGCCCTCGTCGAGCGCCGTTGCGGCATTTATCCCACGTAGGAGCATACAGTGACTTATCGGTGAAGAGTCGGTATGCGCCGACAACCACATATGAGGACGGGAAGTTGAGCCGCAGCATGGCTCGGTGCAGTTCCTGGGGAACCTCGTCATATTTGGACAAGTGGCTCGCTGAATGTTCCAGGACTGGTTCTTCAGGCATATATCCAGAGTTTCAGGAGGTGAGGTCGAAGTTGCTAGTCGTTAACCGTGTGAATGGACTGGCGAGTCGGAACTCAGAAGTGCATGATGCGGCTGTGTTCACTGGGGCGTAGCTATTTTGACGCGGTCCTGCCGCGCCTGCCGCGGTCGTGACGCGGCCGTGACGCGGCGTGACGCGCATGTGACGCGGCACTGACGAGCCTTGACGCGGCACTAACGATCCTTGACGCGGCCACTGACGCGCCATTCCTATATTCTATATTCAACTTCCAGATCAAATTGGATGAGTTCACGACCATTCTTTTGTTATTTTATTTGCCTCAGAGCCATGTACAACTAGGTATACATAAGCCAATGACTATTTTCTTTTCCTCCCTTTCTGGACCCTTCGAGCCTGTGGAGCACATCGACGTTTAACGGGCGGACATTCTTTGGCCGGCAGAGAAGGAACTACAGCTTCGGATAGCTCGTCTGCAGACTCCAAAGATGTAGCATCAGAGTTATCACTGAATAAGGGGCCGCGCTGTCAATCACATAAGTTAGATATCTATCGAACGGAGCAGGTAATGTCTTCCTCACTTCAAGTTCACTCTCGCTATAATCTCTTGCAGAAACCCATTCATCAGGAATTCCAACATACACATTCCATCGCCTGTGATGTTGGCCAGCATCCAAACCCCACTGCTGGTTGCCTGCAGGTCCTGCTTCTTCGGAATCCTCGAACATCTTTGCTTCTAGTGCGGTCAGACACTCGAGGTCGACATCAGCCACGAAGCTATTGGTAGGATAGCTTATCATGAGATCAGCCCAAGCCATCTTCAACAGCATGCTATCGTTCCATTCTTCGTTTCGAGCTTCGATGCGTTTTTCAAAATCACTGGCCTTTCGGTGAGCAACCACGAGAGTGAAAGCATGCACCAAAGGCATGCCACCAAGCCATTTTTCGACTTGACCGGAAGCACCAGGAACATTCTCCGAGAACCAACGTGCAATTTCGGCATACTCGTGAGATGAGATGTCACCACAAAACGGTATGCTGTATGCACCCACACCATCTGGCTTCTTCTTCGATCGCAAGATGTAGTCTATCACGGGGTATGCCTCCGCACCATATTGGTTCAAGTCTGGACTGTCAAGGAGCTTCTGAAGCGAAGCAATATGTGGTAGTAGAATGTCGTCCAGTTCTTTTGATACTTCCGCTGACATAAAGTTTTGAAGGTCTGCACGGAGGCCGGAAGATAAGCTATTACATCGCCTGTTCTATTTGTCAAATCTGAGTTCACAAGGAGAATATGTCGGATGACGCACCTGAACGGTCATAGCAGGGTATGAGGTCCCCAAAACTCAGCAGCGGACCCGGCCGATCTGGATAATTTTGATTCTCTGTCTCGTTGGGATAGAAAAAGTTGAATATATGTTTGATTAATTGCTAAAAGATGGTTATAACAAGTTTACTCCGTATTTTAAAGAACTCACAAAGGCCATGATACGATTTACAAAAGCGCGATAATAAGGGTTGTTTCTCGAGCCCAGAGGAGACAACGAAAGAATGCTTAGTAAAATAAATTTATTACTGCCTATGGACAATTACAGTGTACGACGTCTAATTCTGTCAGGATGAAAAGGAACACTGTTAGGATATCAATTATTATGACAGATGTAAAGTAAAATGTACCTAAGTTATACGGACAGTGTGACAGTTGAGGTGGTGAGGTTTGACGCGGCATGTGGAGGTGGTGAGGTCTGACGCGGCATGTGCTACTTGTGACGCGGCATGAATGAAGTTTGACGCGGCAGTGACGCGGCGTGACGCGCGGGTGACGCGGCAGTGACGAGGTTTGA